CCTGAGCTGTAGAGTTTTCATCCAGTTTCTTGTCATCCCAGACAGGCTCAATAGCAAAATTAAATAATAAATTTCATACTCCAAATCAGATTCATGGATCCTGAAGACTTTGGAGTATATTGTTGTATGCTTGCTCTGTCTGTTCTGACTAGCTGATAAAATCTCCAACAAATATCTAGATTCTTATGGTCCAGCTGCTTCATATGTTGTTTGTTTGTTTATTCGCACAGCACAGTTATAATATATGTATTAATTTATGTTAACAATAGCTTTTCTTCATTAATTTCCATTGTATATTCAGTCTTGTATCAATCTTGTTTTATTGGAAAATTGTGTTCAAATTGTGATTGTTGTTCTTGTCATGGTTTTATAATTTAAAAAATCCTATCACCTTCTGCCTTCTTTGAAACAAGAGAAACCCTTTAAACACATATGTAAGGAATGTATACTTTTTATACCTTGCCACTCCCATAGACCACATTTGAAACTTTTGGTCCCAGTAAAGTGAAATATTGTTTGCAATTTAGAACCAGCTCATGGTTGAGAATTTATTCAGCAATTTGAGTTTTATGTCACCTCTAATTAGTATGAGCCAGCTATGACCCACAGTAGTTATTTAGTAAAAGGAAGTATGCCCTAAGGAAAGCAGACTCTATCCTTAAATGATGGGAGAACTTGGTAGTCATGATACTGATTTGGGGACATGAAAAATACAAGACTGAGAGGGGCATGGATTCTTCTCTGCAACTTCAGAGAGCTGCTGATGCCAGGCAGGGCTGGAATACCTGTGGCAGGCTGGATTCCCTATGGTAAGCCCTGGGAGGACATTCATGAATGGAGACTTCCCTATGTTGAATTTGAGAGAACCATATATTGTTAGAGTGGCAGGGTTTTCATAAGGGAACAGAACCAAAAATGCTCAGAGAAAGTGCAAGCAGTTATTGCTGTACCACACTAGGAAAACCTCTCTGAATTTTGGAGGCTTTACTCTTCTGTTCTAGTCTATCTCCTTAGTCACAAATCATGCCCTTGTCTTCATAAAAATGCCCCAAAGAAAAGTCTGCTCATTCTTAGTGGCTTAGCATATATTTAATGAGTGAGAAAGCTGTGATCTATAGAGCCCAGTTTCTGCATTGTTCCAGACAATTTGCCTAATTACAGAAGGATGAAATTGGCTGCTCATGTTCTTGACTGCAGAGTTATCATTCAAATAACTTTTTACTGTTTTACTTAAAGTTTTTAAAACTGACCTTATATTTGAACAAATTATTTACTTTTATTTTCTTCAATACATGCTATAATGCTTGAAATGCTGTTCTATTTTATTTTGTAATTGTTCTGAAAATTTTATGCAAACATGCATTGCTTTATAACTCTCTCTCTTACACACACACCCAGTCTTATCTTTCTTTTTTGCTACATCGATATCATCTGGGTTTTTTGTTTGTTTGTTTGTTTGTTGTGTTTTCTTACATGACCCACTGAATTTAACTATAATGCTTCCTTTATCAAGATTTATTTTATAATTTTCTCTTGGAGATTAGTGTGCTCATGTGTGGGTACATAAATAAAGACAATGTCTTTCTCTCTCCAAGAATAATTTAATAGCCAATAGTTAATCCTACACTCACCTCAGGGGAAATATACTTTCCACAGCATTCCAAAATTGACAGCTTATTTTCCTTTGTTATGTATACAACAAGATGGAATGACCCACAGTCAAGAAGTAGACTGAGCTCCTAGAGTTGACAATGCCCCCACAGACTTGCCCATAGGCCAATGTGATAGAAGCAAATCCTCATTTCTTTTTAAGGAAAGTGAAACTTGTACTAAGTTGATAAATCAATAAACATATGCATATACCATTAAAAGTATAAAACACTGCTGAAAAACTTTACACTTCAGAAATCTATAGAAAGAATTTTGTTAAGTCTCAGACAAAATCTAAGAGGTAATTTGATAATCAATAGTAACTGTCTCTTTTAACTAAATATCAGTGCAGAAAGGAAAGTTATTTAGAAATTGGAGGGGAAATCATTCCTTTAAAAAGTTAGGGACTCACAAATCCTGGCAACTGCCTGAATTGGTAGATATAGGAATTGGAGGCAGAAAGACCATTGGTTTGATGACATCCTATGTCTCATTATATCAAACAAATAAATAAATAAAATAAATGAAATACATAAAAATCAAGATATAAACAAACAAAATACTTGGGGAAGAGAAGTGTAATATATTTGTTTTCTAACCTTTATAAAATTTTAACATTTTATGTTTCCTAAGCCTATAAAACATGGCTTACACAATAAACCTAATTATTAAACATATGTTTGGAAATAAAATTTTAATTTTCATATTTAATATAAAATATGCTGGCTCACTTTTGATCATTTGAGGTTTATGAGTAAATTTATTCATAGCTAAACAGAATTACATGCTATTCTTTCTTTTCTTTTATTTTGGGCTTTTTTGAGACAGGGTTTCTCCATAGCTTTTGGTTCCTGTCCTGGAACTAGCTCTTGTAGACCAGGCTGGCCTCGAACTCACAGAGATCTGCCTGCCTCTGCCTCCCGAGTGCTGAGATTAAAAGTGTGCACCACCACCACCTGGCTACATGCTATTCTTTGTATTATTTTGGTTGCCCTCCTGTTACTGTTTTTTTAAGCTTTGAGAAGCTGACACATCTGGCAACTACTATTGTGTTCAAAATGCTCACCATGGATTTGAGTACCAAGGAATTAACATTGTCTCTCCATTTGTTGAGGCTATGACATCAGACTGACTCTACTGAGAAAAATCTAACTAACTATCATAATTCCTGGAGACAATCTACAAATAAAGATGCATGGGACTGGTGGGGTCACCTGAAAAGATTATCCTGAGGCACGAAAATAGTAGATCTAGTTTTGTTCACCTACATAGAGGACTCTGTCAACTTTTACTTCTTTGTTATTCAACAACACAGAGCCTATGAGGGAAATAGATTATCATTCAAAGTAATAAAAAAAATCTGGCATGTTTTAAGATTTCTACTAAGAAAAATTCTGAAAGGTTAGATCTTTTGTAAGACACCATAAGGAGATAACATGAAGCTGCTTTTTCTCATTATGTCCTATGAATCAACGAGAGCCTTTATCTTAAGAAGACTTTTTTGCAAATTGGACATAGGTGCTAGTGAAAACTTTAAGGCATATCCTAGATTGCTTTATATTGTAATGAACACCAGAAAGTTCTTAAGAACTTATGGAGGATTGAGTTTCACATCACAGTGTATCATGAGGAAACATGAATTTAGGAACTCAAGCAAGTCAGGAACCAGGAGGAAGGAATTGAAGCAGAGGCCATGGAGGAATTGAATAATGACTTGCTTCCCATGATTTGTTCAGCCTGATTTCTGATAATCCCCAGGAACATCTGTCCAGGTGTGGCACTGTATTTATTTATTTATTTATTTATTTATTTATATTAAAAATTTCCACCTCCTCTCCTCCTCCCACTTCCTTCCTTTCCCCTCACTCCCCCTCTCCTTCCCTCTCCAGTCCAAACAGCATTCAGGGTTCCCTGCCCTATGTGGAACTGTCTTCATAGGGATGGGTCTTTCTGCATCTATCATTAATACCCCCACTTGCTTAGAGGCCATTAAAAGAGAAACATTTTCTCAATTGATTTTCCTTCTTCTAGTTTACATTAATTTGACAAGACTTTGTTCAGACTTTAATTACAGGCTACCCTAAATTCCATACTCTTGTTTCTGAGACATAAAATTTTCCTTTTCTCTTGTATTTGCACATAATTAATAGCTTTCTATCTTTTAGAAACAGATTTTTTTCTTTTTAAATTTATGTGTATTTGTTGGTGTCTCTGTCTGTGCAAGTCAGTGTCCACAGAGGAATGAAAGGAGTATAAACTCTCCTGGCATTGAAGTTATAAGCCAATGTGAGCAGCTCAGAACAGGTGCTAGTTGCTAAACTCAGGTCCTCTGGAGAACAGCAAGTACTCTTAACTCCTGAGCTACCTATCAACACCGAGAGAGATTCTCATATGGTTCTAAAATCATTTCATTGGATGAACTGTTTAGGTTTCTCAATGAATAGGAATGACTATCATCACATGAAACAACTTGATATTTCACATGGAACAACATGTTCAGACAGGAGTGGAACCCAGGATATCCTCTGCATCCACAGGTGTCATAAGCAATACACATGTCTCCACATACATACAAACACATGATAAGCAAATAAATATAAAAACATTACTTTTCTGAGCTATAATTCCTGCATAAAAGTGTGTGTGTGTATATATATATATATATATATATATATATATATATATATATATTTCATATAAAACAATTGAGCTGAAATTCACCTGTGAAACACCATTAGCAGCAACACCAGAGACCCATTCCTCACTTCCAAAATTTCCCCAAACCATATTTCTATTGATAATTATTTTTAGTATCTACCACTGTTACGGTTTCAGGATAAACACTTAAGATATATTTTCCTTGTATTTTTTTGTTCTTCTCTGGAGGCAAATTCAATGAACCACAGGAAAGATGTCTCCAAACTTTCAGATTTAATATTTTTAAATGACAGCTGTTTTTCTGTAAATTTGATGGAAGAAGAGTAAAGGCATAGTTACTCAACTCATAGAAAATGATTCCATATGTGTGCTCATTGTCACTCTTTCTAGCTTTCTGTAATAAACCTTTATAGAGTGTCTGGTGCTGCCTAGATTGATAGATTTTAGCATGTTCTTTTTCTATTAAGTACCACATTTTGTTTTACCTTTGACACCCTTGATGCAAAAGATATTTTATGTGAATTTTTGCCATCATGAGAAGATTACATGACTCTTCCCTCTATCTATATTGAAGCACTAACCCTGGAACTTTGCATATTGCTCCCTAGGGAAGGCCCACCCTTGCGACTCTGAAATATTATTTCTGCTGTCACCTTCCAGTGACTAATCAGTCTCCAAGATTTCCTTTCAAAATGAAGTTAAGGTTTCTGCTGTTGGGGCTTCTGTTGTTCTTGATTCCTGGTGAGCAAAGAGGGAAGAAAAAAGGGAGGATGGGAAGAGCAGATGAGTTTGGTCCCATTTCTGGTCACATGTATTCTGTCTGTGTATAATAAGATGGGTGTTATCTTTCAGGATGGGGCCTGTGAAGTTTATATCTGTGAGAGCAAGATTCTGACTGGGCATAATCTGTGCTATCATGACTTTATGATGCATATGGTGTGGGATGGTAAAATTTATTCCTAGAAAATTGTTAAGGCTTTTAGTTCACTTGTTTTATTAAAAATGGAATTTTATTGTATAAAACATTGCATGTAAAAAACAAACATCAGAGTTGAAATAAATATCAAAAAAGAAACCACAGAGATTTTTCATGAAGCTTTTTGATAACTTTATACTTCTCTCTCATTATTTCAGCTTCCAGCAGTGATGTTGTGATGACCCAATCTCCACTGTCCCTAACTGTCAGTCTTGGCGATCAAGCCTCTATCTCCTGCAGGTCTAGTCAGAGCCTTGTAGCCAATGATGGTTATACCTATTTATATTGGTTTCTTCAGAAGCCAGGCCAGTCACCACAGCTCCTAATTTATGAGGTTTCCAACCGATTTTCTGGGGTCTCAGACAGGTTCAGTGGCAGTGGGTCATGGTCAGATTTCACACTCAAGATCAGCTGGGTGGAGCCTGAAGATTTGGGAGTTTATTACTGCAAGCAAGCTACACATGTTCCTCCCACAGTGATGCAGACCCTAACAAAAACATTCTTGCTTAGGGTAATCCAGCTGACAAATATGTTATTTAAATGTGAGAGAAAGAGGTGGTGAGGAACTCCAGATTATGAGTTTCAGTTGAGGGCCTTGGAGCGTGAGCACCCTGTTTATACTTCATTGGTCATCCATTTATGGCCTCAACAGCTACAAAAACAATGATACTGTGCAGGCCTCAGGAGAATCACAAACAAGAGCCTTCCCTGCAACTAGGAATGGTGGGAGTAAAGCAGAGTGAAAAACTCATTCTGATCTTATAGTCCTTGTTTACATTTGTTGCTCAAAATTAGCCAGTAAAGAAGACAGGAAATGCAGACTTATTCCTTTGTTAAACTTTCTCCTTAAGTACACAATTACTTCATTTGCAAACTTTTGGGCTTTTGAATTAAATTCCATTTTGTTAATACAAATTATTGCATATCTTTCTCCCCTGTTTTCTAATATAAAGTGTGTTCACTGAGTCCTTAAATTTCATACTATATCTTTACTAATGAAGTATGTATTTTCTGACTAACAAGTGGTTCTTTTTTCCCTTCAATCCAGCTATTCTATTTTGACTGCATGGCTAATTGCAAGTATATGCACAGTTATCAATGGGTAGGAATATGTACATATGTACATACTGGGAATATGTTAATACTTTTTAGTTGTTCTGAAAATTTTTCTTCTATTTTCCCTTTTTGTTCAAGGTTTGGTATTTTTATATATTAATGCACTTTATTTTTTACTCTATTATTTGTATGAATTTAGTGCAAACTTATTTTTCTTATTTTCAGGTGAAATTACCTTTCAGTTTTCAGAGAGTGGCTATGTTTCCCCATTTCCAATGTTCCTGTTAATTGTATTTTCCAGATGAATAGAAAATTTACTGTTCTTGATAGAATTTTGACTGTATTTTCCAGTTCTCTCCTCATTTTTGGATTTGCAAGTGAATTTATGGTGTGTTGTATAAAATTCCTAAGTAATTAATAAAAATGTTATGTTGGTAAAAAAAAGAAATTAGTATCTACCTAATAGGATTTCTTTAAGTGTAACTTAATTCCACCCTTTGTCTAATTTATATTTCTTTCTGGATTTGATCTTTTGCAATGAATTCATCTGAAAGTCTTTGAGCTTCAAAGACCTGGGATGTTCAGAAAGTACTTCAATTAGTATGATTTTTGTATGTCTATCTTTCTCTCTTCTTTTTAGAAAACCATAATATAGGCATATATTCATTTTATGTTGTTCCATATACTGCTCATGCTATTCTTTCTGTTTTATTTTATTCTTTTAAAATTTAATTAAAATTACAAATAATGATTATTTTTATGTTTCTATGTCCAATGGCTGTTTTTTTCTTTTATATTGGGACTCTTATTCACTAATGTCTCCCTCCAATTCTATTGTTATTTTTGGTTTGATCTAGTAAATTATATTTTTTTTGCTTGTACTCTGGAACATATCACACACATTCCCAATAGCCTTTTTCTGCTAATAGACTGTCCATGAGTAGTGAATACTCATTAACACCTCCTCCATACCACATGAAAATATGTTATGTATCATCTGCTGCCTCTTATACAGGTAATCATATCAATAATATCTCCTATATCATGTTTCTGATGTCCTTTGAGTCAGAAGGAAAGGGTAAATCTTCTTAGAATAAGTACTTGCATTCCACAGTTTTTCTTATCACTTTGAAAATCTGTGAATACTTATCTATATTAAGTACCACCCACTACAAAAAGTCTCAGATGAAGTCTCACAGCATTACTAATCTACAAGGATAAATGTAACTATGTAGAAGACAATTTGACACCAGGCCTATTCAGCAAAACTCCAGTTATGTTATCTCACAAGGTGTATGTCTTCCTCAATCATTGATACTTAACTGTCTTTGCAATACCAGACACTAGTTCTTTGACAGGGAGTGGGTCTTAGATAATATTTGGGTGGAAAATTCTACCTCAAGCCCCCCTCCTCTGAGAGCTGCCATGTTCCTGACTCCACCTCTGAAAAAGTATGCCATACCATGACCAGCTCCAACTTAAAAATCCTGGTGTAGGCTGCAGAAGCCAGGGAAGCACTCAGGTGGTCCCATTAAGGACCAAATTAGAAGATGCTGTAAGGGAGAACCTAAACATAAGGGCGGAACATCTATGCAGTTTTAGAGTGGAAGGATAGGCGGAAATCAACCTGTTGTTGAAAGAATCCCAGTTCAACAGATTAATGCCAGGACTGTAGACAAACAATAAAAGCTGGAGAAGTGGGGAAGGGATGTTGATGAGAGGAATTTGGAGCAGGAGCATGGCATCCAGAAACCATGGGCATATGGGGTCTTGTTTATTTTTTTTTCATTGGTGAATTTACTTTTAGGGATGAAGGTGTCATTTTCTGCATTGTTTTATGGCTTGGGAGACTTTCTTTTTAAAGGACATTCCTATCCATGAAACTAGCATCTTTCATTGATAATTTCTGTATTGTTAGGGAACATTATGCTCCATGAAGTGTGCTTCATTGTTTCTGCATTAAAATAGAACTAGAAAATAATGTGTTTCCAAACAATTTTGGTCATATATTCTTACTTTTGGTGGCTTAACAAAGTATCTTGTCCCTTGTAATCTGATATCCTACTTAAAGCTAAATGAGTATTCTCATTGTCTACTTTCATATCACACAATATTACTATTACCTCCCCTATTTTTATAATCATATGTGAATATATGTAAGTTTTATTCAATTATATATGTATATATAAAATACAATGCTGAGCTTTATAATGTTTCTCTATAATCCCATCATTGAGACTTCAATCAGAAAAAATATAATTTAAATATCAATCTTGGATTTCTAGAAAATTCTAAAGAAACTTGTGCTAGAAAAGTAGATACTATATCTCAGATAAAAAAATAAAATAGTCAACAAACAAATTATCACTTTCCCTCATTCTGTAAATTCCTTGTGTTTGCTTTGTACAAGAAATATTTCACTGAGACAGTAATGAAGCCTGTAAGATTTTGAGTCCATGGGACAGTGCTACCTGAGCAATTGTCCAACATAAAATAATAACTCTGTCACCATGCATCTCCCCTTCCTGTATTCACTTCTGAAAATTCAGATTGTATCTTATATTCAGAGCCATGATCTCATGTGAAAACCTGGTCTTCTAGTTACTTTCCAGTTGCTGTGAGGAAACACCATGACCAAAGTAACTTATAAGAGAACATGTTTAACTTGGCTTATAATTTAAGAAGCACAGAGTTAATGATTGTTGCAACAGTGGGGTAACAGGAAAGCTCAGAACTCATATCTAGATCCACCAGGAGGTAGAGAAAGCACATGGGTTGACAGCAGGACTTTGGAACTTCAAATCTCACCCTAATAATATGCCTCCTCAAAAAAAATTATAATTCCTAAATATTTCTAAAGAGTTTAGAAAAGAGAATAGAGTATTCAAACACAGGAGGCTATAGGAGCCATGCAATTCAATCTTCTACACCAAGATACCAAGTAAATGAAGAAAGAAAATGGATGTGATAAAGGTTGTCCCCAAGCAAGAGCTTTACTTCAGAATGGAAATTTCTGTTTTTATCAATTCATATTGTTTCTTCTACAATTTTTTAGTACATAAAACTATAAGAAGAAGTTCTATTTGAGAGCATGAAGGAGTAGAGAGAGTGAAAGGAAGGAAGGGGAAGACGGGGAGAGAATAGGATGACCAAGATGGGAGAAAAGAGAGGGAGAGTAAAGAAAAGACTTATTAATTGATGGAGCCTCCATGATGATGGAGGCATGTAGTAATAGGAGCGGCGGGGCTGCGTCCGCAGCACCCCGCTGCCCACAAAACTAGCTTTACCCGAAATAATTACACCAGCACTGTATTCTTTTAATTACTGCTTGGCCCATTTCTATCTAGCCTCTTCTAGGCTAACTCTCACACCTGGACTAGCCCATGTCTAATATTCTATGCAGCATAGCTAGGTGCGCTTACCAGGAAGATTCTAGCCTACATCCATCCTGGGTCGGAGCTTCATCATGTGTGTCTGCCCGGGAGCGGGGCATGGCATCTCTCTGAGGCGTCTGCTCCCGAGAGAAGAGCTGTGGAGTCTGAGCTCACTTCCTCTTCCTCCCAGCGTTCTGTTCTGTTTACTCCTCCCACCTATCTTCTAACCAATGAGGGCCAAGCAGTTTCTTTTTATTTAACCAATGACCTTCCTCCAACATTTCCCCTTTTTCAGTTTAAACAAAAGAAAAAAAGACTTTAACTTTAACATAGCAAAATTACATATAACAAAACAGTTATCAAGTAAAAGTTACAATAATCTTTATCATAACTAAGGAAAACTATAACTATAACTAACTATTCTTAACTCCATCAAAGACTCCAGAAAGATACAATACTACCTAAGTAAACAAGAAAAAAGCAACTTTTAAAACTCTAGAAATGACAGAGACATCTCGCTGCCTGGACAGTCACCCAAAGTTCCTCTGTACCATTGGGGCATCCATCTTCAGCCTTCAGGCCCATGGTATCCAGCAGACATTTCCATAACGCAGGAAAATTCAAAGTCAGTTCAGTCACTATCTGTTTTGCCCTGCAGAATGTCTCGCAGACTCTTTCATGAATCAGGAACCCCGACAGATCATCTCACCTTAGGCAAGTTCAGTAGTCCTCTCTCTGTGGGTTCTCTGTGTCCAGTTTATGCAATAGTCCAGGCAAGAGCAGTTTCTTGCCCAAATGGCTATCAAACTCCATAAGGATCCTCTTCGATGCCCATCTTCTTCCTGAAGTAGATTGGTGCTGCCAGGGGCAGACGTGTCTCCTTGTCATGAAAAGCCCTAAGTTATTAAAACATCTTAAATGCCATATTCTGAAGCTTTTGAGAGATATGAAGAATGCCTATCTGAAATATATCTCTATATATCTAGAAAATCTAACTAACATGACTACACGCTTTACTATTATCGATGATTATCCATTAACAACCTATATTTCCTAATTATACATTACATTTTAAAAATGAACTACACACTCACAATATCTTAATCAATAGCAGAAATATGCATATACATATAACAAAATTGACCTTAAATCTCTATCAATAAAGCAAAATCTATACTAATGCAAATTACTCATATCTATATCATATTCCCCTTTAAATGTAAAAGAACATTTATAAACCATATTTGGGAACATGGGCACAGTTTTTTCTCTCCAAACTGCTTCCTGCTGAATGGGGGCGTCGTTAATTAGGTCTTTCATGGTATAACCTATGTGCTAGTTTCATCTCAGTTGGCAGTTGAGCAAAGCAATTTTCTGAAGGTGTTCACACCAACCCTTCAGGAGGGCGTGGTCCATCATACCAAATCAGAATAGAAGAAATGAACAGGGTCTCATCCTCTGTGAAAACAAAATAAGAAACTCCTTTCCAAAGTGTCATGTCCTTAGATCCAAATTTCAGAGTCAAGGCATCAAAATATCTATGTTGGATTAGTTCAACAGCATTTATAAATAAATATCTTTTAGCAAATGTTGCTCCTTCCTCAGCATTCAAACAATTCAAAGAGAGCATAATAGCATACAGTATCAAAATTCTCTGTCTTTTTTCCATCTTTGTACAGCTTTGTTTTAACCTCTATTTCATTTATTTTTACTTTTGACTTTTTGCTTTTTGAGACAGGTTCTCTGTATCTTTGACCTAGCATAACTCTGTAGACCAGGCTGTCCTCGAACTCTCAGAGATCCACCTGTCTCTGCCTCCCAGGCATTGGGATTAAAGGTGTACGCTACTGCACCTTGAACTCACAGATATCTGTTTGTCTCTGCCTTCTAGGCACTGGGATTAAAGGCGTGTACTACCACACCTCAAAGTCACAGAGGTTAATCTCCCTCTGCTTCCCAAGTGTTGGGATTAAAAGTGTGTACTACCACACACAACAACTCTCTTGCTTTTTTTTGTTTTGTTTTTTACTTTAAGAACTTCAACTTTTAGTCTGCATATATTTTTAACACAGTGTAAATCATTTAAAAATTTTCTTTGTCTTTGAATCTCTCTTTTTACTGTATCTCTCTCTCTTTTTCTGACCATATGAGTCTTTAATGTACCAAGCAATCTCAGTAGGACTAAAACCGTGGCTTTGCGAGCTAGATGTAGCCCATTCCTTTGCTTTCTGCCATTCCAACCTTGTTGTGGCTGAGGTACCGGCCAGAGCCGCATTCAGTGTCACAAGTCTACAGTGTTTCAAGGTCCTTGCCATCAAACAAACTGCAACAGACAACACTCAAGTCCTCTCTCTGTAGCTGGCCCTCCTGACTCAAACAGTCAGAGTTTGCCCTGGCAGGACGGCCCAGAAAGCTGGCATTATTAAACGGTGCAGCTTTTTTCCTGCTACAGCTGAAAACCGAAAAGCATGCGTTCAGCTTTTTGTCAACACCATTTAAGTGTTTTGTGGCAGGACCTCTTAATGAGCTGCAGGGTTTTGCAGCTAAAGCTGAGTCAGGAAGCCTCTCTTAGATGAGAGCACTTGCTTGCCTCTAGCAAGCAGAATAGAACCGAGAAATGACAGCTACCAAGAAAGCATGCTTTACTCTTTCCCAAGCTTTCTCAGGCTTTCAGTGGATACAGTTGTCCACACGTATGGGCGCCATTTGTAGTAATAGGAGTGGCGGGGCTGAGTCCCCAGCACCCCGCTGCCCACAAGGCTAGCTTTACCTGAAATAATTACACTGACACTGTATTCTTTTAATCACTGCTTGGCCCATTTCTATCTAGCCTCTTCTAGGATAACTCTCGCACCTGGACTAGCCCACGTCTAATATTCTATGTAGCATAGCTAGGTGCGCTTACCAGCAAGATTCTAGCCTACATCCATCCTGGGTCGGAGCTTCATCATGTGTGTCTGCCCGGGAGCGGGGCATGGCATCTCTCTGAGGCATCTGCTCCCGAGAGGAGAGCTGTAGAGTCTGAGCTCACTTCCTCTTCCTCCCAGCGGTCTGTTCTGTTTACTCCTCCCACCTATCTTCTAATCAATGAGGGCCAAGCAGTTTCGTTTTATTTAACCAATGACCTTCCTCCATCACTGGCAAGAACCTTGGTACTGGAAAAATTCCCAGGAATCACAAGTACAATTCCAGCTAAGATCCTGAGCAATAGTGAAGAGGGTACCTGACTTGCCCTTTCTCTGTAATCAGACTGATGACTGCCTTAATTGTCATCATAAAAAACATCATCTAGGAACTGATGGAAACAGGTGTAGAGATACACAAGTAGTACCATGATTGAGTTCTCAGATTCCAGTCAAAGAGAGAGAGGAGCAATAATATGAACAAATGGGTCAAGCCCATAATGGAGATACCCACATAACCACCTGACCTAAGCTAATTGTATCTCATTGACTGTAGACTGATTGTGGGGGAGCCTGCATAAGCCCAAAATAGACTCTCTAAATTTGAGTGACAACTGTGTGGCTATGGCAGTCTCTGGAGCCACTGGCGATGTGACCAGGATATATCCCTAGTGCTTGAACTGGATTTTTGAAGCCCATTCTTTTTGGAGAGATATCATGCTCATCCTTAATATAGCAGGGAGGACCTTGATACTGTCTCAAAGTGATGTGCCATACTTTGTTCACTCACCATGGGAAGCCTTACCTTACCCTCGCTGAGGCTGTTGAATAAAGCTGTGAAGGTGAAGCCTGAATTGCATTGA